CTCTAATAAATATGAAGACTCCAATTTAATGGACAAGGAAACTACAACTCAGTGCGACTGAGTAAGATACCAAAGGAAGTAGCAGAGGCAGGATTTCAACTCAGTCTGTCTTCTCAGGAGCTCAGCATTCTACGCAATCTCGGAATCATTGTAAAACATGACTGAAAGCCACAGTGATGTCCCCTTGTCATGTGAGTGCTCTGGCTCCTGATATTTAGTTCCAGCCTAATTATTTAAGGAAGTAGGTAAGCAAGTATAACAGTGCATATATGTCATTCCTCCAGAATTTCTCCATACATCCTTTATCTACAGTTGGAATCTGCCAGGCTGTCCTATGGATGGAGCAAGTTTGGAGAGAGCAATGAATTAAATAAGCGGTAGACAGGAAACCAGAGCTATGTCTAGAAACAGCACTCTCCATCCAAGAAGTTTTGTGTACTCTTTTGCTTTTGACAAATTGGAATAGAAGAGTTACTTTTACAAACTGGCTAGACCAATGACACTGGGGAAAGAGGGACATAAGACTATATTGTTATTTAGCCATGGGTTTGGCCTGTAGTTGCTTTATTTGACCCACGAGAGTGTTTGTTTGAATAGCTACCAATATTTAAAGATTCGTGACAAATATCCACTGGGCATATGCCCGACACTGTTTCAGGAGTGTAGAATTTATCAAGGAACCAAATGGACAAAGCTAACCTCATGGGACTTACTTTCTAAGCAGAGAGAGACAAAAAATAATGGAGACAATGATGATGAATATAGTATCTAAGAAGTGAGAGCTAAGAGATAAAAGTAAATTAGGGTAATGGGGGTTTAGAAGAAAGATGGGATGAACTGTTGAAGGCTTCAGTGAGAACGTGGAATTTGAACGAAAAATTACAAAAGGTGATAGAGTTACCAGGTGCATATGGAGTTCAAGGAATCTTCCAGAATGAGGAATAAGTCCGGCAAAGTATATTAGGTGGGATCATGTGTGCTTGTTTAAGGAATAACAAGAAAGCCAGTGGGCCTGGAGTAATATGAGCAAGTGAAAAGATAGTAAGAAACAAAGTAAGGCGGGGCCATCCCTGGTGGCTCAGGCAGTTGAGCACAGCTCTGTAAAGCTGTCCACAGCCTCTGCAGCACCAGTTCCATCCTTCCCACCTGGTGCGGCAGACCTCTCCTGCCTTGCCCACTGCTCCCCTCAGCAGTGTGTTTCATCAGTCTGCATCAGTCTGCCCATTCTGTTCCCCACTCTGTCTCTGGTGAATCCTCTCACCCTCCCGCACATCTGGCCTGTGCCCTTGTTCTTGTATGCATGAATAAAAAATAAGGCAATTGATGAAGGTCCGAATGATGTAGGGCTTTACAAGCTTTTGTAATGACTGACTTTTACTCTATGGAAATGGGAAGCCATGAATAGGTTTGAGTAGAGGAACAATGTGATTTAACATTTATTTAAAAGTAATTACTCTGATTTCTGTGTTGAGAATAAACTAGAGAAGAGTTAAGGCCAGACTCAGAAAGATCAGTAGGAATATTTTTAAGTACTCCAGATGAGAAATAATGTTGGTTAGGGAGATACCAGCAAGTTATGAAAAATCATGAGTTTGAAAACATTTTGAAAGTCAAAGCAACAAAACTTTCATTTGATTGGATGTGGAGAGAGGTAAAAAATTACAGCAAGGTATCAAGTATTGGTGAGGATGGGGAAAAACTGGAACATCCATGTACTATTATTGATGGGAATGTAAAATGGTACGGCCTCTGTGGAATATAAACAGTATGGCGTTTCCTCAAGACATTATAAACAGAATTATTATACGCTCCAACAATTCCACTTAGAACTTAGAAGTAAATATCTAAAATAATTGATGGAGTCTTAAAGAGATTTTTGTACACCCATGTTTACAGCAGTATTATTCAAAATAGCCAAAGATTTTGTTTATCTCTCAATGAATGACTGGATAAACAAAATGCATACACTTACAATGGAATATCATTCAGCCGTTAAATGACACATGCTACAATATGATGAACTTTGAAGATGTTATGCTAAGTGAAATAAGCATCACAAAAAAGATAAATACTACAGGACTCCACTTATATAAGTTACCTATAGTAGCAAACTCATAGAGACAAAAAAAGTAGAATGGTGGTTTTCAGGAGCTGGGAGAAGAATGAGGAGTTATTATTTAATAGGTATAGAGTTTGTTTGCAAATAAACAGTTCTGAAGATTGAACAACAGTATGAATGAACTTAACACTACTGAAATTTACACTTAAAAATGGTTAAAATCGTAAATTTTATGTTACTTGTACTTTACCAAAAACATTTTTTTAATTAACTGAGCCTTTTAAAAAAGATGTCATAGTAATAGAAGAAAATTTTACAATAAATTTTACAATAAATTTTACAATAAATTCATTCTTGAAGAATGAATTATATGTAGGAATGAAAAATATATTTCACTACAAAAAAAACAATGAGTGAAAGTTTTCTGGCTGTAGAGGCAGAATGGCACAATGAAGGTTTCTATGATTCCACAGACCCGGCGAGTAAAGGAGAGTCCTGGAGCCCTTGGCGGCTTTCTCAGGCTTTTATTGAGCTTTCCATGTGGTGTGGCAAACAGGTACACAGCAGGCAGGGGTGCTGGGGGGCCTGGAGGCCTACCCCTCAGCAGGCCTCCAGGCCCCCAGCAAGTCTTCACTCTGGGCTTCTCTGGCTTCTTTTCTCCCCTTCTCTCTCCTGCCTCTCTTCTGCTTCTGCTTCTCTTGGTGACTATCTTAGTACCCCTCCCATGGCCCACAGAAGTAATAAGGCAGCTTGCAACAATGTAACAACTGCAGGTATCCCATCAGGCAGGGCAATCCTGATGGTGGGAGGGCAGAAAAGCCTGAAAACTATTTACCCTACACTGGCCTAAGAATGATTGCCATTTGTGATATGGAGGAAACTGGGCAGAGTTGAATTTGTAGGAGAGATCAGGAGTCCAGTTTGTACACATTGTATTAGTGATATATATATATATATATATATATATATATATATATATATATATATATATATATCAGACATCCCAATGGAGATATCAAAGAGACAGGTGAATATGCAAGTCAGAATTCAAAGAAATGATTTGAGTGGAAGACATCAATTTGGAAACTACTGACAAAAGATGGTACTGAAATGCATAAGCCTGAATGAAACTTTTAAAGTGGAGAAATACTTAAAAGTTAAAGGAAATAAAAGTTAAAGGAAAAAGGTGTCTGCAATCCCTTGAAAGAGGGGCGAATGTGACTCTTCTGAATCCACATTGCTGCATGTCATCAATCTGCCAGTTTTATTCATTCATATTACCTGCCTTGACTCTGAGGACATTTGATTTGCCAATCCTAGTATTTCTGCCTTTCACCTAAGGGAAACAATCCTCATCTTGAACCAGTCTACATTTTCCTCTAATCATGTTTGGGAAATCCAGCCAGGATATTCATGAAAAGATATGTGGCCCATGGGTAAAATCTGAGTCTGACATTCCTTCCTTGAGAAATAACAAAATACATGACACCAAGAATTACAAAGAAAGAATGAATTAGTACATCCTTTCTTTTCATTCTGGAACTCAAATTACTACCAGTCTTGGTGAGCTTTGAAACAGCAACAACTTCTAGAAATGATATACAGTTCCTATACAGGTAGAGAAAAGCCAAAGAAATCAAAGCAAGAACAATGAATTTAGGAATAATCAGAATGAGGTGTCCAGTAAATCTGAAAAGTTGAGACCCTAGGTGTCAATTATGATTATTTTACCTTGTAGCAGCATAAAAGTTTGTATTAATTGGAAAATTTTAAATATTAGTTCAGTTTTTAACTGACAATTCACTTGGAATGTGACTCCATGTGTTGAGTGAATAGGAAATTGTAAATGAGCCATAGCTTCAAAGAAATGTGCTTGGCTGTCAGGCTTCCAGCAAGAAATTCTTTTCTCCTTTGAGATTTCAAATACCTCTGCACTGAGATTCTATATTCATTGGTCTTAAAGGCAGTGCTAAGGAACACTTAAGCAGGGAAATGTTTGGCCAGTCAACAACATACTGAATGCCTACTAAGGTCTGAAGACTGGTTGAAAAAAAAAGAGAAATTGCAACTAAGGTTTATGATCATTGTCAAGATTTATCCACGGAGAGGTAGTGCGCATTGAAAGAGAATATGGCAGACAGTCAGGGTTTTCCAATTGTCTAAATATTACTATCTGAACCTTGAAATAGAAATAACCACTGCACTTTGGCCATAACCCCACCCTACCTTCTCTCCCTAAGATAATACCAACTTCTTGGGCCTCCCCTGGTGATGCAGGCGGTTGAGCACAGCGCTATGAAGCTGTTTGCAACCTCGCAGTGCGGCTTCCATTGCGGCCAGCAAGAATCCCAGATGGCACGGCAGACCTCTCCTGTCTTGCCGCTGCTCCCCACTCTGTGTCTGGTGAATCCTCTCACCCTCCTGTGCATCTGGCTTGCACCTCGGTTCTTGTATGCACGAATAAATAAATCTTAATAAAAAAATACCATCTTCTTAAATGCATGTATATAGGGCCTCCCCGGTGGTGCAGTGATTGAGCGCTGGGTTGGGAAGCTGCCCGCAGCCTCTGCAGCGCTGGTTCGATCCCTGGCCACCGGGTGAGGGTCCCACATGGCGCGCAGACCTCTCCTGCCTCCCACTTCTGCCCTCAGCAGTGTACTTTGTCAGTCTGCCTGCTCTGCTCTCCCCTCCGGCTCGGGTGAATTCTCTCACCCTCCCGTGCTTCTGACTGTACCCAGTGCTCGTATAAATAAATAAATAAATCTTTTTAAAAAGATGCATGTATATAGAAAGGTACATAATATTTTCTAGTGCCAAATCCACTTGTTTTCTCCATTTGTTGGTTTTATTTTGTTTGCTACTCCTGTCTTGCTTGGTAACTGATATCTTGAGCAAGTGCTAAATGGTTCCTATAGCAACAGTCACTGAATGAACACTCTCCCAACAGCTCTCCTCCTTCCCTCCAGCTCCTCCCCAGTGTGTGTGTGTTTAATGTTTTCAATGTCTGGCATCAACATGTTTGGGTGAGTAGAGAGATTTTAAAGCTTATTCACTAAACTGTCCTTTCTCATTTAATGGATGTTGATATTACAGGACAACTTTTTTAATACAGAGGGGCCTCAGGCCCACTTAAGTACCATCAGTTTCGTATTGTAAGATCATCACACTCAACAACAAAATGAAAATGTATTAAAGAAAATTCTTTTATATACATTTTACTATTTTAATTTTCATTATGATGTATTTAATAGCTTACAAATAGATTTAAAAAACCAACACATGAGCAACTACTCATTTCACTCAACAAGGAGGTAAAGCAGTGGGGGGGTATCCAGCATGATACACAAATGTGAAAATAACCAGGACCAAGTCTACTGACTGCTGGACACCTTCCATCACCAGCAATGAGGGAGATAAGCTACTGGAGGACCCTTAAAGAGCATTAAAATATTCTTTCTGTATCTATAATGATATACAATAGGAGCATGAGACTTTTTTTGCACTAGATTATACCTGGCTTGCACAGTTTCTGTTCTATCTAAAATAGGATCTCTTTTGCAGAGTTTGGGAAGACATTATGTTTGTTCCCAGTTCATCAGCATCTATAAGTTGATACCATCTAATGTCCCCAGTGTCTTTTTATATGGATTTAATATTCATAAATTTAGCATTCATATGCTACATCTTGGTTTAAAGAGTTCTGTAAGTTTTATAAGTATTAAAGAGTTGAGTTTAGTTCAGTGTACACCAGAGGTCACCTAGTGTGGCAGTTAAGGTGCCAAACTGACTAAAATCAAATAGCAGCCCTGTTACCTTGAGACCTTAGTCAAATTAGTTTATGTCCTATATGTGAAATATGAATAATACTTTTCTTATAGTATGGTTATGAGGATTAAATAAATTAATATATGTAAATTACATATCATTCATTAATTTGTTTTAACAATAACCCATTTCAATATTTGCCTCTCCGTGTTATAATCCTAATTTAAAATAAAATTAACCTAATCAGAAGACCATCTATTCTTCCTGTTTGCTTCTCCATCTTCAGTTCAATATTGTAATTCATGTGGCACACAGACCAGAACAAAATGAAAATTAACTGTGGTGTATTGGTTTTTTTCCAAAATAAATATTTACCAGGAAATCTGTGATAGTTAATTTTATGTGTCTCTGAGACTGGGCCAAGGAATACCTGGACAGCAGGTTAAACATTATAACTGGTTTATCTGTGAGGGTGTTTCTAGAAGAGATTAACATTTAAATGAATAATGTGGACAGGCCCATCCAAACTGTTAAGGCCCTGAATAGAATAGAGAATATAAAGGTAGAGAAGGTTAAAATTGCTCTTTGTCTGGGCTTCTCTGGTGGTGCAGGCAGTTGAGCGCCTCATTGTGAAGCTGTCCACAGCCTCTGCAGGGCAGATCGATCCTGGCCGGCCGGTGAGAATCCCACATGGCAAGACAGACCTCTCCTGTCTCACCTGCTGCTCCCCTCAGCAGTGTATTTCTCCAGTCTGCCTGTACTGTTCCCTGCTCTGTCTCTGGTGAATCCTCTCACCCTCCCATGCATTGGCCTGTACCCCGGTTCTTATATAAAAAATTGCTCTTTGTCTGACTGCTAAATTGGGACATAAATCTCCTGCCCTCTGCACTCCTGGTTCTCAGGCTTTCAGACATGGACTAGCATCTACAACATCAGCTCTCTGGCTCCCAGGCCCTCAAATTACAGCCCTACTTTTAATGTATCTCCTGCTTGCAGATGGTAGATTGTGGGACTTCTCAGCCACCATAATTGTATGAGCCAATACCACATAATAAAAGCTTTGGTAGAAAGATATGTAGATAGATAGATAGATCGATCCTACTTGTTCCGACTAATACAAAAACCAAGCATGAACAGCAACAATAAAATCATATAAAGACCTACATTTGCAGATGCAATCTGTTGACACACACAATAACTCTTCTTTCCTCACTGGGGATTTGATAACAGTGCTAGAGATGCCAGCCAGGAGTTCCCCTCCAGCATTACAGGTCATAGTTGAACAGCAGATATTGTGAGTTGGGACTGCTTCCAACCTGGGTAAACTATTTAGTTCTTTCCAGAATCTGCTTCCAAGGCTCTTCACCAGTTGAATTGATTAGTAATGAGTTTTATGAAGGATGGGATAAGGGATTTTTTTTCTTTCTTTCTTGAAATACATTTCTTACTGATACCTAGAGTTTCTTTGAATGCAATAAATAGAAACTTACTCAAGCCACATCAATTATACTAATATATGGGACACAAAGGGAAAAAATATATAGTGTGTATATATATGTATGTGTGTATATGTGTGTGTGTGTATATATATATATATATATATATATATATATACGTGTGTGTGTATATATATACATTCTGTCTATATAGAGAGGAGAGAAAGAGAGACAGTAAATACTGCTCAGATTCTAGGTAGCTGTAGCCAGAGAATAGTGGGTCTATCTTATTCACAAGATTTGAGTCGACCATAGCAAAACCTGTGGAGGCCTTCCTGCAGAGAAGGCACCCTAACCTGTCACCTGAACTGAGGTTATGTTGACCTTTTTGGCAAGAAGAGACTAGTCTATATCTATATACAGCAGGCTAGAATGGCAGACATAGAGAGTGGAGAGAGAACTGTGATACAACCATTGAGAGAGATTTATTTATTTTCCACAGACATTTTCCATCTCAGTCCAGAGATGCATAATTAAATTAATGTGATTTTTTTTTCACTGCATTGAAATTGAAGAGTATCCCCTGGGTATAAAGTAGGTTGCATTCAAGAACCCTTTGGATTTTCTCCTGGTTCAGGTCTGATAGTTAGAAACCATTATCTTATAGGCACATTTGTACCATTTTCCCATAATGTGTTATCATCTTACATCAGTCTACATGGAGCTTATTTTCCATTTTTCTGCCCACTCATATGACCAAGTTATTTCCTTTGACAGTTTATTCATATTGCTCTATGTTACTATACAGAGAGTTTTGCAGAAAATCTTATTCTAGCAAGTACTTTCAGATCACTTATGACAATGTTAATTAAGATCAATCTAGTACTAATTCCTAGGGTTTACAGGTCTTATACATAAGTCTTCTCTCAGTTTTTCCCTTACTCTTCCATCTCCTTCTTAGAGCAAATATTTCTTAAGTACCAACTATGTGTAAAAAAATATTCAAAGTTCTCAGGATATTTCACTGAACCAAATAGATTTAAAAAAAAAAAATTGGCTCTCAGAGTGTGGAAAGAGAGCCAATAACAAATAAACAAATGTATAATATGTCACATTGTTACAATGACAGGCATTGCTTTCCCCTTCATTTATTTTCACAATTTGAGTGAGTTCTTCAATGATACAGTATTTTTCCTTAAATCCACTGTATCCATCTCAGATTGGAAGAGAATAACTTTCTCACATTTTATGTTTCATTTTGAAAGAGAATAATGAATCAGCAAAAAGGAAATAGAATGTTCCCATTTTTTTCAGGAGAAAATGTTTAGAGTAAAATTAATTCATTGAACAAAAACTTGTGGAGTATCTACAGAACACATAAAAGAAGAAATTATAGCCCTTCCCTGAAATATTTTATAATTAAATTGAATAAAATTACTAACACCCAGGTAGTAGTAAAAGCAGATAGTGCCTACCTCATATATTTTAACTGTGTCATCATCAGCTCCAACCTCCAGCAGAATCATTGTGTGTGTGGAGGAGGAGGGATTCCTCCTTATTTCCTGAGTCATCCTTGTCTACTCCCTAGCAGCCATTACATTGACAGTGGACTTTACACATTGCTCTCAATAGAATCTTGACTTGGGCGTTGTATTTGAGTCCCTGATTTAAGTCTCTAGTGTTTTAGCCTACTTTTGGGGCATTGGTCCTTTTTTTTTAAGATTTTTATTTATTTATTTATACAAGAACCGGGGTACAGGCCAGATTTGCGGAAGGGTGAGAGGATTCACCAGAGACAGAGCAGGGAACAGAACAGGCAGACTCACTGAAATACACTGCTGAGGGGAGCAGCGGGTGAGACAGGAGAGGTCTGCAGCGCCATGCCAGATCCTCGCCAGCCGGCCGGGATCGAACCAGTGCCGCAGAGGCAGTGGACAGCTTCCCAGCGCTGCGCTCAACCGCCTGTGCCACCAGGGGAGATCCTCATTTGTCCTTTTATACATTAAGCAAACTTTATTTAGCATCTGCTTGTATCAGTCACCATGTCAGGTTCTGTGGATATTAAAGTAACAATGAAATTGCCTTTGCCCTTGAGGGGTTCAGAGTCTAATGAGGAAATGTACTCATAAATATCATATATGAGCAAGATCAATGCTCCAATGTATATGATGGAGTGCTTTGGGAATGGAAGACTAAGAAATCACTGCCATTGTCTGAAAGAACAGAGGTCACAGAGAAGAATTCACAAAGTGTTCTCATCCTGGCTGTTCTCAAAGAAAGAGTAAGAATTCTCTAAGTGCACAAGGAGGGAAGAATATGTCAAACCAAGGGAAACACAAAAGCAAAGGAATGGAGGTTTGCGAAAGAGCTCTTGAGCCAGCTTCTCAACAGAGAAATTAAAGGTTCTAATTTTGAATCTGAGTATGTTTTTTAAGACTTTTTTTTTGTTGTTTTTAAAGATTTTTTATTTATTTAACAAGAGCTGGTACAGGCCAGAGGCACGGGAGGGTGAGAGGATTCACCGGAAACAGAGTGGGGGAACAGAACAGGCAGACTGGCTGAAAAACTCTGCTGAGAGGAGCAGTGGGCAAGACAGGAGAGGTCTGCCGCACCATGTGGGTATCTCCTTGAGTGTTACCACTCTCTCTGTTAGCCCAAGGCACTAGTTCTACTTTGTTTCTCCTTTAAAAGATGCTGATTCTCTTGTATTTTTAAAATGATTTTATTAAGATAATCTTCATGCCAAAGAATTCACCCATTTAAAGTGTACAGTTCAAAGGTTTTTAAGAATATTTACAGTCAGTGGTGATGGTGCACAGGTG